GGGCAAAAGTAAAGAAGAGAAGCTTCGCACTTTTGTCAAGTCATAAGACGCGAAACTCAAAACAAATACACATTCACACTCCAAATGTTCTTCTGAAAAAAAACTCAATAAAATTTAAGAGAGTAAATATAATTAGACCAATATAAACAAGACGCATTACCTTTATATTTAGGCTTGAATGGTTCACCAGTTTTGTAGACCAAACCCGCTTTGAATTTTTCAGCTTGCAAACGACTTTTCTTGTACAATTGTGAGTCAACATAATCCTTACTAACACCACCTCCGTAGGAAGGCGTTTCTATACGGGGTTCTCGATAATTTCTAAAGTTAAAACACGTTCGAAATTAGAGGTTGTCCCAAGTAAATGTTGAAATAAAATTGAGACACTCACCTCTGTTTATAAAGAGAAACAGTTGATTGGCTATCCTTGGACTCGGCTCGTTTTTTAGCAGCAAGTTTATCAAGACCAAAGACAGAGCACTGCGGCTTTTTGAAAACATGCGTAGATTCTGCAGTAGACGTGCCTTTTGGATAAACGAGTCCACCTTTCTCCTTTGCATCCGAGCCCTCCAATTGATCCGATGAACCAAATGATTCCATTTTGTGTTTAGTAAATAAATTATTTTATTATAAATATACCCCTTTATAAATCAAAGGCAATATATATGCTCAAAAATCTAACTAGTACAATTTTGTTCGAGAATTCATACAGTTCGCGCAAGATTAAACTCATTAAAATTAATGACATCTATGACCTCTAAAAATTTTTGACAGCTATTATTTAGCCTGATAACGTTCTTACAGAATTAACTTTGCTCTGCCTGACAGATTACCTTTAGTTATGATATACTTATAAAGATTTTAAAAAATTCTGTTTGACGGAAAATTTTTTAGTATTATTTACGTAATATTAGTATGCTCACATTCACTCTCATTATTTTCAAATTAGAAAGAACAAAATTGACTTAAATTTATTTACCTTTGATTCTGCGTTATTTCCTAAAATTAAAATTGATTGGATAATGACAATAACTGAGAAGGTAGTCTAACTCAAGTCATCTCGTTTTAAAGGCATTTATCCTGCTAATCAAATCCAACGAATCAGCCTTCTTCACCGCGATCAGCTTCTATCATTTTATATTTTTAATGTTAACATTTCGACTGATGTATCGTGTTTTTATAGGCAGTTGGAACAAAACGATTACTGATGTTCCAACACAATTGATTTATAGGTTATTTCGAATAAATTCTGTAAAGAACATTCAGTTTTGAAGGCATGTGAAGTAGCTCTTGGCGAAGAATGAGTTTGAAAGAATGCTATAACCCATTTCGTATTTATCGATAATATATTATATTTATTGAAAATTGCCTCTCGGATCCTGTCAATCAGTACCAATTACAGATATCTACGTATAGAGAAGGACAGTTGTGCAAATCTTAATCAATAAACCGGGATCGTTTGAATGGTTTTCTGCTGACAGTGACTTATCTCTCGAGATTTCCAGAAATTTGTTAACACCTTCGCTCGAGCATGAATCTGTCTTATCCTTATATTCTTAAGTGATGCATTGATTCACCTTTAAATTTAAATGTGAAAGAGACTGTATCTGATTGTATTTTAGGCTGATATTTTTCTGTTCGTATTTCAGCATGCAGATTACGCTTCGCTAAAGGCATGTTTGTAAATGTAGAATAATGGCGCAAAAGTACAACAAAGAGGCTGGGGTATGGGGATGCATCAGGCATCATGACCAATTTCTGTTTACTTACTCACCCAAAACACGATGTGATCGCGATATAATGGAAAAATTAAGCAACGGTAAAATAATCCTTATAACTTGGACAAAGTGGACATAAGACCTTAATTTAATGATAAATAACACTTTAATCAATGTGACAAACTTTATGTTAGTATAAGGATGCAAATTATGATCAAAATATTTTAATTTATTTTTTTGTAAGATCGGAGGGATTGCCATATCTGTCGTCTTGTCACCAATCAGCATCTGTTGCTAGGGCCAGTCAATGCGTGATTCAAAAATGGAATAGCGTTTGGCAAATCGGATTTTGAAAGCAAACCTAATCCAGACATAGCTAGCTTTGTATTCGCGAAAAATTTGTCCGTAATGACACAATTCTGGACTTGTAATGACATTTTAATGATGGGCCATGCCTTATTTTCCTTCTATTATCTAAGCACCCTCGCCTTTATACACTTAATAAGCCAAATATGTTTTGATCTAGCTTAGGCCCATGACATGACTTTATTGCTAGTTGGAAATAACACACTGCTGCCACTATTTTGAACATTGCTTAGTGTTTTGGGTGTGTTAAATTTCATGTTAGACCCAATAGAGATCCAGTGTTCTTCAGGTAGTTATCTCGAAGGATTTGCTTGTAATTCAAGCAGATTCATGGGGAGAGAGCGAGATTGAGGTTAGTAAACCGTTTGGATGAAAAAATATATCAAATTTCATTTATTTGAACAAGTTTTAGTCACGATTAGTTGAGTTGTGTTGTGGTGAACCCGATGTCATAGGTCGAACAATAGAGACTCTACCTAGATATAGTTAGCCCCCTACGCGAGCATAAGCATTGCCAGTTTTGATTATTCCGAATTTCATTTAAACGATTTATTAAATTATTTTATTAAACCTAAATCAAAGCGTCAAAAGCTCCGATCATTGCTGATAGCATCTCAGCCAAAAAATTAATGAACACAAAATAAAATTATATCATTTACGAGGAAATGAATCACTTCACTCAGAGGTGGTTGCTCTTCCCCCTGAGAATTTTCGTTTTTGAATTTTTTACCCAAAAGATCGATTAAGTCATGTGTATTTATACCACATCTCATTACTATCGATAACAGGGTATTTCGAACTGAACCTTATTAAGGCAGTAAAATGTACGCAAGTCCATACCACCGATTTATCATTCAGATAGCAAAAAACATTGTGCGTTCTATTTACGCCATTTTCGGTTCTGAATAAAAGTGATAGTTTATAAGCCGAATATATAATAATACTCAAAAAGAACAGAAAAAAATTATTAAGCCAATATCAGCAACGAAGGTGATTGTTTCGCAACCTTTCCATTAAACCACTAATTTCAAACAGCCTGATGACACGAAGTCTAAACAAGTAGTCATTAGGGAAACTATGATAAATCAGGCAAAAGCTACAAGAGGACGTTATTCTTTAAAGATGTATTGAAGGTGGAAGTAAGATCCATCAATGTGAGTATATCTCCTAATCCATTGACTAGTGACTATTTCCGCTTGTCCGCTCTTCGGTGTCAATGCCCATATCGTACACAACGACGTGAATTCTGACTATTTGTCATGAAAATTCGTGATTTTAACTGTAAAACGCATACATCCTCTCTTTACAACCGACTAATTCCAAAATATTGGGTATCTGGTCCTGCCTGTGTTACATCACAATCTCGTACATGAGACGACTAGAACTAAAATAGGAATTGAAAAAGAGCCAAAAATGGCGCACAATGTAAAAGCATACACGTTGGAAAACAATGGAGAACTGAAGGGATAGTGCTCAAAATGTGCGCAAGAGACCCCCTGGGCCACAAGAGAAAATATACCATTTCCTGCTCAAATAAAATAGCCCATGTTGTCTTTTAGGTTTCCGCAACTTTTAAATACGCAGGCCATTTTTATTTGGTGAGTAGTTAATTCCAAACTTCCATTTTTTTAAATTTTAATAGTTTTAATTACCAAATATTTGTTTGCATTTTGTAATACCATACACATCACCCAGGAGAGAGAAAGAGAGAACGATATCTCAGTTTATTTAAGTCGGAATTTTTCCCCTTGATGAAGTAAATGAATTGATCTTTCTTTCCTTCACATTCAATAGAGGGAGAGAAAATGCTCTGTTTCATACCAGAGTCTAATAGCATTAAGGTGGAGACTTAAAGAACCTGCGACTGTTCGTCTAGTTCTTGCATTTGCGGTCCTATGACTTAAATCGATTTCCATACGGTTTAGCTTTTAATCAAATGTTCATAGCCTCAGCTGATAAGGTGACTCTTAATGTTTGAAGACAGTGACTGACATATTCAGGTTCACTGGTTCTAGAAAAATCTACAAGGTTCCTTATTAATGCACATGATACGATTGAGTTAGTAACACCTATGTAGATCAGAAACACACCATTCCAGTATGACGATTGTGATGAATCATTTCAGAAGCCCATGACACGACCGATGTTAAGTAATTATACTCAATTTTCAAATAAATCACCACGCTATAAATGTTTCCTTCCATGTTTTATCTTTACAACACACTGACAATTAGGAATTAATTCCTTTGTCACCCAATTGAAAACAGCATTGAGACAGTAACTTGTAAACATACGACATTTAAAGAATATTTAACCTCTTCCCTATAACTATAATCGATGACAAACCAAAAAGCCTCCCTCTACCCCTGAACCCATTAGCAGACACTGATGTAGTGTGTTGCACCCAACAGCTTGACTACTTCAGGAAATCAAACACCCCTCCAAAACAAATGCGCTCACTGTCCCTTACGACAAACAATGTCAACTATCCTGGAGATCAATGGCTCCAAGTCTTCACTGATGGGTCAACATAGAAAACCAAGCACACGTTGGTACAGGTGTCTACTCTGAACTCGTCTATTTCTACGCAACAGCGGGACACAATAAATCCACTTTCGAAGGAGAAATAGAGGCCATCAAGATAACACTAGGCTAATTTTGCTGCCTGGATACGAAATTCACCAAATCAGTAATTCTTTCGGACTCACAGTTAGCAATAAACTCAATTGGAAACAGAGAGCCACCCAAAACAGCTGAGATAAAGGAATGTAGAAAACTCTATCAGCTGCTGAGAGAGAAAAATAAAACAGTGGTTCTACAATGGATTCCTGATCACTGTGGCATTAAAGGTAATGAGCTTGTTGACGCACTTGCTAAGAAAGGGACAAAGATTTCGCAATGCATGGACCGACTGATGTCTTTCCACACAATGAAGGCCTTAATCAGGAGAGAATTCAAGACCTCAAGGTGCAATGACCTTAAATCTCGACCAAAGGAGAAACAGTGGACAGTGGCACTCTCCGACATACCCGACTGGCCAAGAATCGAAGCCGTTGCTGAGTTTAGACTACGTACCGGACACGATTGCCTGACAAAGCACCTTCACAGATTAGGAGTATATATTTAACCAACATGCGCCCTATGCAACCTACAGGAGGAAATGGAGAAGACCCACCTGATTCGTTGTCCAGCCCTAAAGACAACGACTGAAACCCAGAGATACTGGGAAGCCAGAAGACAGCTAATGAACTGCTATATATGCACCCCCCCCCCCCTTACACCCATGGGGAAAGCTGAAGTCAACTAAGGGGCTAATGATAAATAATATAAAGCCTGCCATTCGAAAAAAATGTCTTCATTTTCTTTGGCAAGTAATTTAAAAAGTTCTAATAAGTGTAACTCTGTTATTCGATAATATAATTGAGATTGTAGCAGATTGGTACTTTATTAAAGCCTGACTGACTCAGAAATCTCTATGGCAGATCCTCCTACATTTAGCTAGACTCCCAGAACCAG